TAGTGGTTAGACTCTGGTTGCGAGCCGCAAGGTTAGCAGTTCGAACCTACCAGCTGTTCGGTGGGAGACTGCTTCCTTAAAGATTGACATTCATGGGAACCCTAAGGAGCAGTTCTGCTCTCCTTATAGGGTCACCTGAATGAACTCGATGACGGTGACTTTGGTTTTGGAATGTCTAGTCAAAATGAATCTTTGATTGTATTGCCAACTTACAGTAAAAACAATATGAAAGATTTCTGTTTACATGGGTTTACAGCACTGCTGTGGAGGTTTTTTTTCCTTTTTAAAACATTTACTAGGAAGATTTTCAAATCACCTAGGCACAGTAGTATAATGAGCTTCTGATCTGTAATCCAAGTGTTGAGTGAAGCTTCTTGTGTATGTGGGCAGTGTTCTATCAAACCCAGTTCTGAACACCTGTATTTGACACTATTGAATGGGCAAATGCATTGACTTTCTTTGGGGTGCTATAGATTCTTTCACTTATGTAAATTACCTCACTATGCATATTGAACCAACCAACCAGATTCCTGCTGACAGGTTAACTTTGCTCACCTTCTTTTTATGGTTACGTCCTATGGAGTCAGTTCCAACTCAGCAACTCTCTATAGGGTTTCCGAGGGTTCATATTTGCTGGAGCAGGAAGCCTCGTCTTCCTCTGAACAGCTGGTAGTTTCGAACTGCTGACCGTGAGATTAGCAGCCCGACTAGTAGTATCAGTGCTACCAGAGCTCCTTATCCATCTCTTAGAAATGTATTTTATAATGAAAGTTCTTATAGAAATAGTAAAATAGTTGCTAAATTAAGTTCACTGCATATTTTTCGTCAAATATACTTTAGCCCCAGGTGGTACACTGGCAGATGACATGATGCGTACAGATGTCTGTGTGTTTGCAGCACAAGAAGACCTAGAGACCATGCAAGCATTTGCTCAGGTAAATGAAATATTAGGTAACTGCTTCCCATTTGATTAATATTTAAGCCATGTTTTGCTATTAGAAGGTTATAGTTATAAAGAGTTGAAGAAATTTTGTACTTTATAAACTAGTATTGAGCTGAGTTAAGTATGATCACATAACAGTTTTTTTAAGTATGTATGTATATACAGTCGCTGGAGAAGGATGTCATGCTGGGTCAGGTGGAGGGTCAAAGAAAAAGAGGAAGACCCCTAACGAGATGGATCAGCCAGGTGGCATCATTGATGGGCTCAAGTGGTAGTGAGGTTGGCCCAGGATCGGACATTGTTTCGTTCTGCTGTGCATGGGGTCGCTATGAGTCGGTTCCGACTCGATGGCACCTGACAACAAAAACATAGTTTATCTGAGGTTTGTTGTTGTTAAGTGCTGTCAAGTCGGTTATGACCCATAGCGACCCTGTACAGGGATTCCAAGGCTGTAAATCTTTGAGGGAGCAGAAAGCCTCATCTTTCTCCCACGGAGTGGCTGGTAGTTTCGAACTGCTGGACATTAAGGTTCGTAGCCTGATTTGTAACCATTATGCTACCAGAGCTCCTTATAACTGAGGTATGTTGTTGTGCAGTGCTGGTTCCGACCCATAGCAACCCTGTATAGGGTTTTTGAGGAGCAGCTGGTGAGCTTGAACTGCCGACCTTGCAGTTCAAATGGCCTTGCAGTCTGGCGCATTAATCCATAGCACCACACCAGGACTCTATATATGGGAAATTTATATAAATATATAAAATTTATATGTGGGAAACAAAAGAGGAAAAAAGAAATTTAGCTCCCTTTTTATATTGGTCCTTGTGAAATTACTCCTTTTTTTTTTTTTTAGGAGAAATATATATCTGAAAAGGAGAATCTGTTCCCTGATGTAATCTAACCTGCTATTAGAGAATAGAAAACTGTGCTTTATGATAAATCTGTCAGTGTCTTACAATGAGTAAATGATTTGTGTTTGATCAATAGTCATATAATATATAATGTTAAATGCCAAAGCACTGGTTTATTGCCGGGTTCTGGAATTGGCAGACCCTTCTCAAACTGATTTAGACAGTTCATAAAGTAATATACCCAGTGAGAAATTCCTCGTTGTATGTGAGATACTCTGGAACATGTCTATGTAACCAAAACATTTCTAGGGATCCAGCATCTGTGCACATACGAAGGTAATGAATGCTAAGTTTATTTAATATTCTTCCTAGGTGTTTAACAAGTTAATCAGGCGCTACAAATACCTGGAGAAAGGTTTTGAAGATGAAGTTAAAAAGGTATGTAGAGCAGTATGCTTTGTGGGGAAAAAAAGGTTAGGGACAGAGGGAAATTTAAAAGATTTCATTTCTGCCACAGAAGTTGTCTTGGGAATTGAGATAGGGTATCTTTGAAATGTAGATTTTAAAGTATGTGTTTCTAATTTTATGTGCATTTGTTTCTTGTTATTTTTAAATGCCATTGAGTCAGTTCCGACCTCCATAGCACCCCTGTATAGGGTTTTTGAGGCGCAACTGGTTCGCTTGAACCGCCAACCTTACAGTTCTAACAGCTTTACAGTATGGCACATGAACTCACAGCACCCTGTATAAATAAGAAAGGTCTGACAATCATGAGAGATGAATGAGGTTCATTTATTTAGAGGGTCTGAGTTAAAGATGTGTGAAATTGGGTACTAAGACCTGTTAGGTATTCTAATACGAATGGGACTTCAAAAAGTTTATGAAAAACTTCTTTTACCTTTTGTAATGAACATTTGTACTCAAAACTTTGTGGCACTTTGTCATATATAGGTAAGGATATCCCAGGTGGTGCTGGGGATTACACATTGGACTGCTAACCACAAGGTCAGCAATTGGAATCCATGGACTCTGTTGGAGAAAGATGAGGCTTTCTGCTCCCATTAAGATTTACAGCCTTGGGAACCCTATGAAGGATTGATATAAGTCAGAACCTACTTAAACGGCATACAACCACCACCACCATATATAGGTGGAGTCCTGGTGTAGCACCGTAGAATAAGCACTGAGCTGCTAACTTCAAGCTCTCAGAGGTTCAAACTCACAAGTTGATAATTCCAAAATCCTATATAGGGTCTCTGTGAGTCAGAGACAATTTGATGGCACTAACAACAATATATGGATTCCTGGTGTGGCGCTGTTGGCTAATGCATCAGACTGTAAAGTCATTTGAACTGCAAGGTTGGTTGTTCAAGCTCACCATCTGCTCCTTGGAAACCCTATACTGGGTCGCTATGGGTCGGAATCGACTCGACAGCACTTAACAACTATATATATATACGTATGTGTGTGTATGTTGTAAATACATATATGTATGTACAGTTTATCAAGTGCTAATCGGACCTCAGAGCTCATACTGTTAAGCAAGATAGATAGCATGCTTTACTGCTTTTCTTACTGTAATATCATTGCTCTTTTAATGCGTAACCATTTACTTTTTACAGTTGCTGCTGTTCTTAAAGGGTTTTTCCGAGTCGGAGAGGAACAAGCTGGCGATGTTGACTGGTGTTCTTCTGGCTAATGGAACACTTAATGCATCTATTCTTAATAGCCTTTATAATGAGAATTTGGTTAAAGAAGGTAATCAGTCTTTAGTAAACAGTGATCTGTACTTAGCTGGCATGCAGTAAATATAAAAGATAAATTGATAATAGACGTTAGTGTGACTCTTGTAGGGTTGGTGTATTAAGCTTCCTTTAATAGGTTAATTCCTGTTCAGTAGACATTTGTGTATGCCTTTGATGTCCAGGGTTAATGACTTTCAAGCATGTAATAAAAATACCCTTGTTGTTGTTGTTGTTGTTAAGTGCCGTCGAGTCGGGTCCGACCCATAGCGACCCTGTACAGGGTTTCCGAGGGTGTAAATCTTTACCCTAGGTCCAGACAAAATGTAAGTATAGAAATGTGAAAGGAAGAGAGGAGTGCTATGGGAACCTAAAAAGATTAGATCTAGTTGAGCGCCTTGAGGACATCTTAAATAGAAAAGGGGACATGAGGACAAAAGTAAATTGGTTCCCTATTGTCATTTCCATAGTCAAATTCTGCACAGTAATACAATAGCTAACTTTTCTTACCACTTAGAATGCTTAGTGCTTGAACCGTGACTTCTTTTAATTCATACACTAGCCCTGACCATGTAGGGATTGTTATCCTCCATTTTCACATTAGTAAACAGTTTAATTTACCCAGGAATACGCAACTAACAAATAGTGAACTGGGACATTGATGTAAAATGGTAAACCGTGCCAGAGGAACACTTGGGTGAGGTTTGAGCAAGTAATCTCTTTGTGGTTGGACTGTTAAGTGGAAATGAAGAAGATATAATGACTAAACATCAAAAAGTACTTCTGTTAAAAGTATTGTTCTGTTATAGGGGTTTCAGCAGCTTTTGCTGTAAAGCTCTTTAAATCATGGATAAATGAAAAAGATATCAATGCAGTAGCTGCAAGTCTTCGGAAAGTCAGCATGGATAACAGATTGATGGTTTGTAACTTTTTCTTTATATTTCTGCAAAACTATGGCAAGTGTAAAGAAAGGAAATTTTCATTTTTATTCTATAAAATGGGGGGGGGGGCATTTTTCTTAATCTGATTACATTCTTCCTTTCAGGAACTTTTTCCTGCCAATAAACAAAGCGTTGAACATTTCACAAAGTACTTCACTGAAGCAGGCTTGAAAGAGCTTTCAGAATATGTTCGGAATCAGCAAACCATAGGAGCTCGTAAGGAACTCCAGAAAGAACTTCAGGAACAGATGTCTCGTGGTGATCCATTTAAGGATGTAAGTAAGATATTTTTATTTAAACCATGTGTATATGACTGAGTTGCTAGCAAAGAAATGTTTCACTCATTTGAGAAACTATAAAGTATTTAGGTTTGAATTAATAGTTATATACTATTGTGCTGAGGCTTTGCCTTAATCTTTTTCAAATGCTTACTTATTTAGCCTTACTGTGCCCACAAATAACACTTGGGATTTTGTAGAGTACAAGTCACTATATAGACTTGGTTCTGTTTCCATCTTGGTTCCCTCCTAGTTGTTGTTGTTATGTGCCGTGGAGTCAGTTCCGACTCATAGCAACCCTGTACAGGGTTTCTGAGGCTGTAAATCTGTACGGGAGCAGAAAGCCTCATCATTCTTCCACAGAGTGGCTGGTAGTTTCAAACTGCTGACCTGGAAGCTAGCAGCCTGATTTGTAACCACTACACATTAACGATGTAGCAACTGCCCAGGTGAGAATACATACTGGCTGTGATGGTTTAAGATTATGTGTCAGTTTGGCTGGACCATGGTTTGGCAGTTGAAAAAAATCCTCCATTTTTGCAAATACTAATTTTCATGTACTGACCAAGAATGACAAACAGGGAGGTAGGCATGTAAGAGCTAAAGGGGATAGAAAAACAGTGTTATATATACAACCTTGGAACAACAGTGTTGTGCAGGTAGATACATGGACAAAATTACAGGCTGACTGGGTATGGGAGGGAAGTGGGAGAATATACCCACATATATATGAGTTTGAAAGAGGATATTTACACATGGGTATTTACCTTTCCTTCAAACACAACTATGAATGTTGTGGAGAATACAGCGGGCAAAATAATCAAAACTTCTTAGAGTGATGAGAATTGAAGATGCTTGTAGTCAATTTGTCCACTGTATTAATGGCACTTGTGAATATCAGTCACCATGATTCTGAGGCCCAAAGAACTAGATGCAGCTTGGCTATCACTAACACCTTCTCTGAAAGGGATCGCATTAGAAGGTCCCAGGTAGAGTGGGAGAAAGTGTGGGGGTAACACAATTACTAAAAAAAAAAAAACAGACATACTGGTCAGAAAGCAATTGGAAGAAACTGAGACTATGGCCCTCGACCACCCCTACAAGCCTGAAAAGGAACTCACCCTCCTGGCCCAACTTTCAGCCAAGCTGTATATAAAATATTGGGAGACAACGACACTAGTACTGAATATTTACCATGGAATGGTCCATCATTCAAACTCAAAAGGGCAACATTTTCCTAAGGACACAGTTGAGAAAAATAACTTGTTGCATGGAGGAAATTGCAGTCATTGAGATGAAATAAAGTATATGGTTTGTTGAATGTAAAACTGTTAATTTCTTTGTAAGCCTTCACTCAACTCACAATAAAAAGCTTTTATAAAAAAGAAAAACTGACTTCTATAACTAAACTTGGATTCTTTTGCAGATAATTTTATATGTCAAGGAAGAGATGAAAAAAAACAACATACCAGAACCAGTTGTCATTGGAATAATCTGGTCAAGTGTAATGAGTACTGTGGAATGGAACAAAAAAGAGGAGCTTGTAGCAGAGCAAGCCATCAAGCACTTGAAGGTACTAGAACTCTGTGCCTTGATAAAAACGAATTCTCCTTATCCAATCTGTCTAGGTGGGGCTGATGAAATGCATATAGCTCTGTTGTGATACAATAGTGAATAATTGTCATCAGGACTGACTGTGGGGGTTGGAAATGTAAAGGTAAATATTTTGTAGTAAGGAGGGGACTGGTTAACTTTGCAGTCTAGGAGCGAAGGTCCCTGGGACCATCAAGGGAGAAGAGCGAAGTGAGGGATCCTACCCAGAGAGCAGTGATGCCAGAGATAGAGGCAGAGACGATGACATGGAGAGATGGAGCAGCTGGAGACTTTAGACCCAGAGAGGGAGAGGGGCTGTGTGCTGACAACCGGGGGACAGGCTTTGTGGGGTATAACCTTTGGTTGGTTGATGGTGCCTGGAGGGAATTATAACCTTAAGTGGAGATGAGTGAACTGTCATGGTACTTTTCTAGTAGGATTTGTCATATTCTGGGGAAGTCTGGTGTGTTCTGTAGGATAAACTCTGGACTACAAAGTCAGTTTGAACCCACCAGCCAAATCCTCAGAAGCCCTATACAGGGTCTTTATGAGTCAACTGACTCAGCGGCAATTAACAGCAACATGGTTCCTGGGTCTAACCTACTAACACGCAAGTGACATTAACTAATGATAATATCTTGAAGGTTGATTTGGCCTTTCTTTGGGTTCATGATTTTGAAACAATTACATGTATAAAAGTAGCTGCAACCTGAATTGTAATATTTGCTTTTGAGAGGGAATATTGGAAAATAGCATTCTTTTTTCCTCTAAAATAATTTTAGATTTTTCTAGTTTTTAATTCCTAAACAATTTCATTTATAAACTAAATACATAGTTTGTAGAATTGGAAAAGGTAAGTTATTTATGTATTACAGAGATTTTGTCATTGTGGTATATGACTAAATCTTTTCTTCCTTCCTTCTAAAAAGCAATACAGCCCTCTACTTGCTGCCTTCACTACTCAAGGTCAGTCAGAACTGACACTGTTACTGAAGATTCAGGAGTACTGCTATGACAACATTCATTTCATGAAAGCCTTCCAGAAAATAGTGGTGCTTTTTTATAAAGGTAAGTTAAATTTTTAATTCTGAAATACTTGAGATAATTAAAATGACTATCTGCTCCCTGACTTTTAAAAAAAACTAATTACAGAACTGAGTTCTCAGGTCAATGAGGTGCTTTTTAATGAATTACTGTAACGTGGTAGGTAGTATAACAAGGCAACTACTGGGTATTAGTATAGTGGATTAATGCATTGGGCTGCTTAACTGCAAGGTCAGTAGTTTGAATCCATCAGCTGCTCCATGGGAGAAAGATGAAGCTTTCTGTTACCTTGAAGATTTACAGCTTTGGCAACCCTATATAGGGTTGCTGTGAGTCAGAACCGATTCAATGGCACGCTGCTAACCACTGCCACCAGTTAACAACACTCTCGGTTCTAACTTTCAAGCTAAAATTTAAAGCCTTCGTAAGGCAATCTCAACTTCCTTTCTTGTACCCTAGCCACGTCAAATTCCCAAGTTCTTGTCCCCAGGCACACTTTTCACATCCTTGTAGTCTTCACCCTAGTATATTAACCAATGTGAATGTTGACTTCAAGACCTGTTGAAAATGCTTCTGTAAAACCTGTCTTTGCCATTTGTTCCCTTTTGATAGACCCATATTTCAGAAAATAGTTGCTAACATGTAAATATCTGTGTTGGGTAAAGAGTCATTGTAAGTCATTTACTGTGGTTAATGATAACACTTTCAATTTTTCTTTTTGATGAAAGCCTGGGCATCATGAACTCGTATGTGTTATTATCATCTGGGGAGTAGGTTAGGGTTCCGGAAAGCAGATGTACTACTTTTCCCCTCTACTCAGGTTATTTAGAAACAAATTCTGTAAATGTTCATGTAATTTTTCATTATGGTTCTGTTAAGAATGTGGCACCTTGTGCTATTTAAAGAGAAACTACCATTTTTGCATCTAAAATTAAAGAGTTTCAGTCAGAATTTCCCTAGTCCTTAAACAAAGGTCTTCTCAACCTCAGCACTGTTGGTATTTGGGCCAGATACCTCTTTATTGAGTAACATCCCTAATCCCAGTTACTAACTATCAGTAGCCCATCCGCAGGGTAACAACCAAAATGTCTCCAGATGTTGACAAAATTTATAATGTAGTACTTACTATCTCCTTCAGCTGAAGTCCTGAGTGAAGAGCCCATTCTGAAGTGGTATAAAGATGCACATGTTGCAAAGGGGAAAAGTGTCTTCCTGGAGCAAATGAAAAAGTTTGTGGAGTGGCTCAAAAATGCTGAAGAAGGTATGTATGGTTTTCCCCTTGGTGCAATTTGTTCGGTGTAAAGCCTGGAAGTTAATACCCAGGGCTGGAAAATTGAGTTAAAACATACAGGAATTTCTTTCCCATAAACTTTTGGAAACGCTTTCATATTAATATGTGTTCATGCATGTTGCCTCTTTTCGTTATGGTGCAATTTTTTGCCAACACAGACTTTTTTCCCTAATGACAGGCCTGTAGTGTTGGAGTGGTGCTGTGGGTTAATGTGCGGGACTGCAAAGTCAGTTTGAACCACAAGGTCAGCAGTTCAAGCTCACCAGTCACTGCTTGCTAACCCTATACAGGGTCGCTGTGAGTCAGAACCAACTCAGTGGCACTTAACAATAGTGACAGGCATGCAAATAATAATTGTTTAAGCCAGATGAAAAAACTAGACTTTAATTATTACAGTATTTTGGTGACTCAGCCCAAGTATTAAATATCCTAACAGGAAAACTGAAAATTTGAAAATGAGGTATTTATGATTACTTAAGTGAATATTTTTCTAACACTTTAAGTTGTTGTCGTGCCGTCAAATCTATTCCAACCCATAGCAACCCTGTATAGAGTTTCCAAGGAACAGCTGGTGAGCTTTAACTGCTGACCTTGCAGTTCAGACGGCTTTGTAGTCTGGCGCATTAACCCATAATGCCACACCAGAACTCCAAACACCTTACGTAGAATACTTTAATTTTAATTACGGAAAAGCATTAATTATAAATGGGGACTTTTGTGTTCTGATATTATATAGTATACTTGACTACATTTTTCCCCTTTTCTAGAATCTGAGTCTGAAGCTGAAGAAGGTGACTGAATTTTGAAACTTCACCCTCAGTAAAGCAAACAGGAGTTGTAGATTCAATGTCATGTCTCATGTGTCCTGGTTCTTACATTTTCCTACCTCCCTATATCAAGCATGATATAAGGGCTTTCATGGCAAACTTTTATTTTAACTGTTTCTATAGTTACTGGAAATGTTGGGTTTAATTTCTAAAACCATGTTTTAAGTAGCTACAGGAGCTATAGATTTGAATCTAATGTTGCATTAGTCTTTTCAGTTCTCTTCTACCTCCTGTATTTTCTACTGTAATAATGTAATTTAAGGCCTTCCACAATGAACAGTTCACTTTATTCCCTGAGTTTTCTATATAAACCGTTTTCAAAATATAATTTGGTTTAACCCAATTTGTTATAAAAATTCTGTTTGCAAATTAAACTGTAAAAGTATCCAACGTCTCAAAAGACATTGATATGTGTGATAATTTGATAGGAAATGAAAAGGTGGCGTATTGTATGCCCAGATTCCTATTCATCAGTGGAAACTTCATGTATAATTGAATTTATTGACATGAATTTTGAGCATTTGGACCATTAATTGATTGCATGTTAATATACTTTCTTGCATTTTTAACCCAGTTATCCTTAAGTTCACTTGTTTGCTCACTGGTTTTCATTCGTTCGTGAAGTCATGGAGAACAAACTTGAAAGTGAGGTCTTTGGGATATCATATATGACAGAGGTATGGTGGGAAGAAGAAAGTTGAGCTTTTCCCATTGAGAGACTTCTGCGTTTGGTTAATATGTTTCCAGGCAAATCAAATGGTTATTCTTTTCATACAACTATTTTCAAATGTACTTAAGAAAAGTTGTCATTCCAAGTAATACACTTATATTGATAAGGACTGGTCAAGGAGTGCAAATAAGGGATTGACTGATGTTCTAAACCCTGTAAAAATGGATGAAAATGTCGAGTGATCAGCATGTTCTAACTGATACTCTAAATATCACTTGTATTTCCTATTGGCTTAGAGTATTTGTTATAAAGAATGAAGTGCAATGATGATCTATTCCACTTGTTCATATTGGACTGGCTTCAGTGTCTTAATATTTTCTGTTCATTACTCAAGCATCTGGCTATTGACATGCTCTAGTTGCCATTTTTTAAATTGCCATGAGCCAAATATTTCTTCTGTATGGTTGATCCATCTACTTTAATGGCTGCTTTTTAAATCATCTTTTTCTTGCTGCTACCCATTGTAGTCATTAGAAAACAAAATGTGACCACAATTTTGGGGGGTGAGAGAGACATAAGGTTTTCTTATTGGTGAAAGAAATTAACCTGAAATAATGCCACCAGAGACTGACTGGAAATTGTCCCTTTCTAAGGTGCCATTCTTATGAGCCAAGAAAAAGAGTATGGTATTTAAATTAAAAGTTCATCTTGAAGGAATATCGTGTAATATAATTTGAACTAAAGGTATACTATCCTTATAAAGAAGAGCATTATAATGAATAACATTGAGAATGAGGTGAATTTGTTGATAGAATAACTGATAGTGTTCCTGCACAAGCAAAATGTATTCAACTAGGTTTCTACATAGTCTGCTTTTACTTTGTAATTTGTAGTCCTCAAAAAGACTTTTTTTTTTTTAAATAAAGTCCATCTTTACACTTACTATTTAAAAATTTTTTAATTCCATGTTAATACTGAGTGATACTGTATGTCCTGCGTTCAGATGTCTTTACTTCTTTACTATGTATTAAGTAATGGCTGTTTTTAGTCAGTTTGACTCCCTAACATAAACATCAACATGAAATTTTGATGTAGTTGAAATTACATTGGCGTATTTCTATAACCAAATCATTGCATGTTACTGCTGTACAAAGTCTGCCCTGTTGTATTATACTGTGTATACTGAAAGTGTATAGTCTTTCTACACTACATTATGATCTTTGTCTGATCATAGTTTTCCCTGCATAATCACATAAAATAGGTAATTCACCTGTGGCAGTACACTGTAAAGAAAGGGGAAGGCTTTTTAAAGACTGCAGATGTTATGTTGAAATTATTGCGTGGGAACTTTGGAACTTGGCTGTGCCAGTGCTTCAATATGTAATTCTTTTTAGAGGCTAAAGCCATACTTTTAATTATGGTAAATTGATTTTCTTATCTTGATGCCCCTTTTTAAGGATAAAGCCGCCTCTTAAAATTAAATTTCTTAATTACTCTAAAAGTCTTGTCTGAGAGATACCCTATTCTGCCCTTAAAGAAGTTATAAATGCAAAATACACATAATTTTGGCAGAACAAAATAGGGTAAATGCAACGTTGTACTATATGTGTATCTGCTTTGTACATAAGAGAGTTAAGATTATTGTCCCCATATTTTTAGCTTAGTGATAACCAGTATATCTGACATTCATTCTCAGCAGTTGTACTTCGTACAATTGTTGATACAAGGCAAAGTATTTCCCGATGACTCTTGAAGTCTTAACACATTCTTGACTTGTATGTATAGGTAGGATCTGTTGAGAGCTCCTTCTAATATGAAAATCGTAAAGGTCTTAAAGATGTGGATTGTCACACTTGGGTATTGAAATTTCAGTGGGTTGATGAGAGAAACTGGAACTACTAGATGCTAAAGTTTTAGTGTTACATTAAGAAGTTCTGTTCTCCAGCCTACTGAAATGTAGACTTGAACCAAAATTAAAGGAACCAAGTCTTTCAGCAGGCTTGATTTTTTTTTTTTTTTTTTTTTTTTTTAAATCTGAAAGATGTAAGTACTTCATAATTAATTACAGTGGAGATTTATATTTAATGCATTAATTGCATGAAACTGGATTTAAAGGCCTTTTCCCCACTTTTTATTTTTACTTTTTGAACTGGGCAATCAGGAGCTATGTAAAATTCAATCATTTTCATTTTCCAATTCACTTAATATTCTATGACTATTAATCATGGTTCTTAATAGCTTTAGAATCATTGTCAGTTTAATAATAACTCAGTTCAGAACCTACCTGTGTTCACTTGCTTACAGTGCCTATCACACTGCCATAGAGTAATAAATAGATAGCGTAAAGCTGAATCTTGCTTTGTAAGATGTTATCTAGAGGAACCAATAATGTGATTAGAATGTTTAAGGTGTTAGTGTAGGATCTGGAACTATGCATTAAATATGTATAATGAATCTGGGTGCTATAAAGAATCAAGTATACTGGGTTTCAGGGACTTTTCAAATCTGTAAACATTTTAAAATGTCCTTTGAAGTAACTAGGAGCCATTATTTTAAAGGTGTTATCCTGAAGGTTAGACTGTGAAAAGTTCACTTAGAGATAAACCTGTTTGGGAAATAAATGACCCATTTGCAGACTCAAATCTCTGTTAATTGAGTAAGAATAAAACACTTTTTCTGTAAATAGACCTCATTTCTATTCTAGTTAGGAGTAACAGATCCCACCATGGCAAATGAAGAATGGAGAAAACTGGATAGCTGGTAATCCAGATAGCTCTTGGCATTCTGAACAACCTCAACTACAGCCATCCAAGTCAGTAATTACACTGCTGCATTATTTGTGTTAAAGTGTGAAAGTTGCTTCTTGTCTGTACCATTGAAATTGAATAAAATTTCACAAAACTCCTTGTTAATGGAAAGAGTTAAAGCCATGGCTGTTCCATTGATGTTGTATCCTCACAGCTCAGTGTTCAATGTTAAAACATCTTAAGATTTGTTACACCTCCAGAATTATTTTTGCATTTATGGGACTTTAATGTTCTTAAAATTCTTAGGACCATCAGCATCTTTGCTGGTACATTAAATGACCTCTGCTGAGTATAACTTAGCAGTTTAAAAAACTTGCCTGTTAAGTTGGTTCTGAGTTTCAACTACTGACCTTGTTCAAACCAACCTTGCAGTCCAGCGCATTATCCCACAGAAACACTCTTTGTTAGGTGCCATTGAGTCAGTACCATAGTGACCCTATGCACAACAGAACAAAAAACTGCCCTATCCCGGCACAACCTCACAATTGTTAACCATGCTTCAGCCCATTGATGCTGCCACTTTGCCAGTCCCTCTCGCTGGGGATATACTCTTTTTCTCTGACCCTCCATCCTACCAAACATGATACCCTTCTCCAGCAACTGGTCAGTCCCTCCTGACAATATGTTCCAGGTAAGATGAAGTTTGGCCATCCTGGCCTTTAAGGAGATTTCGTAAGCTTTTTCCATATACCACCACATACCTGCTTGTCCTTGAAGAAATTAAAGTAACCCTGCCTACCAAGACTTCTTTTTCACCAAGTACAAAAAGAACACTGCTATGGAGTCATTTCTGATTCGGTGACCCCAAACTAAATCCTCACAGAAAACCAGCCTTCTCTTTCTCCCATGGAGCAGTTGATGGTTTTGAACAGCCAACTTTGTGGTTAACACACCAAGCTGTTTCTGTTGTGCAAATAGAAGGCTTTGAATGATGTAACAGGGTTGGGACCCTGTCGAATCTCATTTGATTACATTCATGTCATTTGTTTGGGGCTGATTTGCTGTAGGGCCCTAGTAATAGGACGGTGCCAGTATTCATGCTATAAAAGCCAAATTCACTGCCGTTGAACTGATTCCAAATGGCAACCTTTGATGGGGTTTTTGAAACTAAACCAGAGTGCACATTTTTCTCCCAGGGAGTAACTGGGTGGGTTTGAACTGCCACCAACCCTGACATTTCATTGTCAAACTTCTGAAAACCTAGGATCATGACCTAGCTTTCCACAAGCTTTTTGCGGGGGTGGGTGGAATTGACAGCCCTAAGTAGGAAGTGACTTCCACAGCATGGTATGTTTCAGAGGCAGATAGCAAAGAGAGCCACCAAATGGAAGAGGGCATATCCTGAAGGAAGGTGAGTCTAGACTTTACAAGAGCAGGCACAGCAGGGTAGGTGGGAGTAGTGGGCTCTTTACAACTAGAGGACTTGATCTTATTTAGGACTAGCAGATATTAGGCAAAATTTTGCTGGGTATACAATACTGGCAGGTTCTAGGTG